CACTGGAGAAAGACAGATAGGAGGGGAGAGAGAAAGAAAGATAGGGAAAGTGAGACTCACCCCCCCAGAGAGGATGGCCATGCTGCAGTGCCCTGTCCTCCACTCTGCTATCAGGATTTGGGGCACATGCACACACACACACACACACACACACACACACACACACACACAGACTGTAAGCAGGGAAAGTGTTTGGTATAGAGCAAGTGGTTGAAGGTGAGTGTGAGGTGCAAAGGGAAGAAACATTTGACAGATGAAAAAGGTAAAATTTTTCATTGAATTAAAAAAAAAAAGAGAAAGTACTTGAAAAAAATGTTCCTAACTTTCCTGAGACTCAGTTTTCTAATCTGTTAATGGGGGTAGGGAGCTTACCATAGTTTTTACTCAAAAGGAGTAACAGATAATGTGGGGCAAGATCTGATCTTCCAAGTTGGTGTTCTATAACTCACAAAAATCACTCAGGCTAAGGCATGTGGCAGGGGGCCCTGAATGAAGTGTTTTAGACTTCGTTTGTAATCATATAGTCACTCTCTAGGGTGAACATGCTCTGCATAAACTGTGCTCACATCCAGCTTGTGCATACCACTTCACTGCATACTTGTACTGCACACTCACCAGCATGGTCCCTCAAAGACTTTCTTTCCATCTCCTCCCTACCCCTGGAGAGCACCTTTCCAGTCCAGTTACCTCAGAAATTGGGGAAGGGGGAGGTTTCCCTCATGTGTGAGAAGAGTTCCCTCCTCCCTATTTCTTGCCAAAATGAATGGAGTCTGTGGGCCAGCAAGTGGTGCTGAGGTTAAGGTGGATGGATCCCATATGGTCCACTGTGTGGCTTGAGTCCTGGATCTGGTGACTTGAAAAACACCTAAAGTGGGAACCAGCAGTTAGCGTAATGGCTATGTCGCTGGACTCACATTTAGTCGACCGCGGTTCGTGTCCCGGACCCGGTGGCTTAGAACCCACGCCGGGCGCGGGTGTGGTTGTGGCCAAGGGAGAATGGAGGAGAAGGGATTGCGGAGTGGCCAAACCCTCTGGGGTGTGATTTCTCTCTTTCTGTCTCTCTGTCTCTCTTTGTCTGTCTGGCGAGCGCACACGCCCTATAGTGAAGAACCTCTCAAAACAAAAACAAAAACAAAACAAAACAAAAACAGCTAAAGTGTGAGTAGTCCTGAGAGGAAAATGGAAGAGAAGAGATTGTGGTGTATTCTTACTTTTAAATTTCTTTTTAGATTTTTACCATAGGGTGCATTTGCTTTCTGGAGAAAGACAGGGAGAGAGGGAGGGAGGGAGGGAGGGAGGGAGAGAGAGAGAGAGAGGGAGGGAGAGAGGAAGTGAAAAAACACTCATGGGAGGCAGGAGGGCGTAGGTCACACCACAATCCCATCCCTTCCATTCTTCTCTTGAGACTTTGGGCATACGCACACATGTACTCAGTGTGTTTTTCAGTCTTTAAGGTCTGGGACTTAAACCATGAAGTTGGCCATGTGGGAATCCAGTTCCTTAACCATCATGCCACATGCTGGCTCTAATTCAGTGTTTTTAAATTTCACAGTAACACAGTTCTGGTGGGCATTAATCTTGGTAGTGGCACCTACAACTTCTTTTGGTATCAAGTTTTTCTTATAGTTGGAGATAAGAGTGATTATTCTTTTGTATACATTAGTTAATAAATTTGTTAATTAAGTAAACCACTATCTGTTGTTTCTGTACAGTAAGCTAGACATTGTTTTGGATGCTAGATTTCAAATGTCACCAAACTTGGGTAGTCCCTGCAGTTTCTGGTAAGGAGAGAGACAGTCATTAAATAACCACATGGATCAGCATTCAATTGTAATTATGACAATCATCATGAAGGGCAGGTACGTGGACACTTGAGAGGCCTGAAAGTGGATTTGACCTAATCCATAGAAGCCAAGCATAGTCTGGAAGGGCTGGCCCCATTGTTCACTGCACTGGAGCAATTGATCCTGGACAGAAAATGAAGCCTGGGGAGGTAAGCCTTGGATCACAAGAAGTGAGGAAGCCTCTTCCTCCTGGGCCTTCTGGTTATTGGGCCTGGTCTCTGGGTAGAGCATTTGGGTCTTTTGATTCATAGGTAGCTCTGAAGCAAGGCAATCATGGACACTTCTGCAATCCCCCAATGGACCCCAGTATTTCAGGCTGGGAATCTGAGCTAAGTCCCCTTTAATTGTAGCAATTATAGATTATTCTCTTTGTTCTTTAAAATACCGAGAGCCCTGACTTTCTAGGAAAATCTTATTAATTCTTACAGCCTATCTATTGTGCTTTGGGATTAAGGGATAAAACAATTTTTCTTTTATTTTTCCTATTACTATAGGACAGATAAACTCATGAGGGGGTGGGGAGAGAAAGTGAAAAATCACCCCTGGGTGTGGGGTGTACAGAAGGTTATGCTATGATCCATTCTACTCCATTCTCCTCTAGGGATTTTGGGCATGGGTGCACACGTACTTGGCGTGTTTCTCAAGTCACTGGGTCTGGGACTCGGACAGCACAGTTGGCCAAGGGGGATCCAGCCGCCTTAACCACCACACCACTGGCTGGCCCCCAACAGCTTTCTCCTGTGTGAGAAAGTACTGCCCAGTGGAGGGTGATGTCTTTAATGTTGGAGCCAGAGTGTTGGTTCCTGTGGTGGCCACCACAAAGGATAGCTGCACAAGAGAGGGCAGTCAGAGGGTCACCGGGAGGCAGAGACAGGGATAAAAAACGATAAAAGTACGGGACCCTGGGAACATCTGAAACCACACTCAGGACACACTAGGGAAGTAGTGGAGGGATTTTATTTTTTGTTTGAGAAAGATATTTTTTTGTAGAGATTTTTACTATAGGGCACATGTGCTCCCCAGAAAGACAGAGAGAGACAGAGAGACAGAAATGAGAGGTCAACCCCCCCCCCCCGGGGGGGGGATGGCCATGCCGCAATCTCCTCTCCTCCATTCTCCTCTCGGGATCTTGGGCATGCATGCACACGCACCTGGCGTGAGTTTAAGCCACCGGGTCCGGGACACGAACCATGGCTGGCTACATGGGAGTCCAGCGACATAACCATTCCGCCAACTGCTGGTCCCTGTTTGAGAAAGATTTTTGCCATAGGTTGTGTGTGCTCACCTGAGAGACAGAGAGAGAGAGTCAGAGAGACAGAAAGTGATAAATTACACGCCCCCCCCCCAGGGGTGGTGGCCATGCCACAATTCTTTCTCTTCCACTCTCCTCTTGGGATTTTGGGCATGTACACACATGTGCCTGGCATGAGTTACTATGTTGCCCAGTCCAATACTTGAACTACAGTTGACTACGTGGGAGTCCAGCGACATTACCATTATACCATCTGCTAGTTCCATTGGAGTGATATTCTGAGGTGATTAATTCTCATTATTCTACCCAGAGGCAGCTTGGTAATTAGGTATGGAAATACAATTCTGTTGGTAGTCACAGGTGGATGAAGACTAACCTTTTGAATTAGGAATGAAAAACAAAAACTTTCTAGGTAGAAGGGCCACTCAAGAAGCACTCTGAGAATAAAATTAATGTGCAATGATCCAACACCGTGTCTACACAGAATGACAAGCAATTATTGAGTATCTGCTACATACCAAATATTGTGGTGGGAATCTATATATTTTCTTATAGGATCCTCTGATATCACCTGAAGTGGATCATTACCCCCTTTATAGAGCTGAGGAAACTGAAGCTCTAAGAGTGAAAAACATTCCACAAGGTCACATGCCTAGAAATTGTAGGAACTTGGGGCCAGCAGGTGACATGGTGAACAAGCCACTGGATTCCCACATGGCCAATCGTGGTTCGCGTCCCAGACCCAGTGGCTTGAAAATCACACCAGATGTGTATGTGCGTCTGCCCCAAATCCGAAGAGGAGACTTGAGGAGAAGGGATTGCAGCATGGCCATTGGAATGATTTCTCACTTTCCCTCTCTCTGTCTCTCTCTGGTGAGAGCACCTAAAAAAAAAAAGACATTTCAGGAACTACCCAGTATGTATTCAATCAACGTTACTTTCCTCCTTTCTGGCTCAGATGTTTACAAAATCTAGTGGACGACCTTTCTTAAGAGACAGCTGGATGTGTTTGTTGGCGCTTGTGTTTTGTTACAATTATACCAACCTTCAACCAAGTTGAATAAAACTAAATTTGTCCTAAAGAATGCCTCTGAATTTGAGTCCTTACTTGATGAGCTGCATTCTTTTTTTTTTCTTTTTTTTGAGAGGTTTTTGCTATAGGGCATGTGCGCTTGCCAGATAGACAGAGAGAGACAGAAAGCGAGAAATCACCCCCCGGGGGGGATGGCCACACCACAATCCCTTCTCCTCTATTCTCCTCTCGGGATCTTGGGCACGTACACACACGCGCCCGGCGTGAGTTTAAGCCACCGGGTCCGGGACTCGAACTGTGGTTGACCACGTGGGAGTCCAACGACATAGCGATTACGCTAACTGCTGGTCCCTGAACTGCATTCTAACCTACTAAGTAAACAAACTGAAAGTCCAACATAGAAGTTTACTTTTATAACACATAGCTGCCTTTCAGCCAATCATAGCAGTTCGGCTTTTCAATCACAGGTGGCCAAGGTATCCCACCATGTTTAAATGAGGCAAATATGGGGCAATAACCAATCAAGCCATTTCTGTATCTTCTGTTCTCTGGCTGTAAATGCTACCTGCCCTTGTTACCCTGAACTGCTGGTTCTGAGGGCTTCCTGATTTACAAATTATTCTTTTCTTAACAATTTAACTTTATTTATTTTAATTTGACTAGAGAAAGACAGACAGACAGAGAGAGAGAGAGAGTGAGAGAGAGAGAGAGAGAGAGAGAGTGTCCAGCACCCTTAATCAGTAGGTCCGGGTAGGTCTGAGATTTGAACCATGGTCAGCCATGTCCAGCACCCTTAACCACCACACCACCTGCCAGCCCCAAATTATTCTTTGCTCAGTGAAACTCTACTAAATTTAATTTCTGTAAAGTTTTTATTTTAGCAACCAGTGAGAGAGGGAAAGTGGAAGCGGGATGAACAAGGAACTCTATGTGAGTGAGGGTCAGATGCTCTGTGGGGCCTCTACAGCTGCTCCTCACACCAGATTTTGTGGTTGCTCTTGGCTGTCACTGGCTTTGGCTTCTTCTATTAAAAACGAAGTGTAGAATTGTAGTCAGAATTCCAAGTGTCGTCGTTGTACCTCCTCCAGACAGGACCTCTTCCACCTACAAAGCAAATGCTTTTGTTGCGAGGTCATGGTAGGCAGGCCCTTTCTCTCTCTTCAGGATCTGGAAGCTACTTGCATTTCCCTGCCCACCTGAGCTATCAGGCCTCTCCTCTTCTGATCTCAGACCCCTCCCAGCTTGCCGGCCCAGAGTCTCCCAGGGAGGATGCTGACTGTGTCTCTAGGGGCTCCATATCCTCAGTTGTGACTACTCCTTAGTTTTGGACTTGTCCTAAGAATGGGCTGATGTAAGGAATCCTTTTGAGTGGGTGTCCTGGCTGAGGACATTTGTTCCTGATATAGGGTTGGGCAGAGAAGAGAATTTGTGCCTGGTTTCCTGAGACCAGAGCTCTAAGTCCCAGACTGGGGCCTGTTTTGCAGTGTGGGTTCTACTGGAGCTACCTGCTGCAGAGGGAGGGCTGTGGCAGAAGCTGAGGGGAGAGAGAGGGAGATCATGGCACAGGTGGTGCACTTTGGGTTCCCTGTGACTATTCACAGGTGCAGTCTGGCATTTCTATCTGCAGTCCCACCTCAGGCCTGAACTCCAATTCTATTCCACCCTCCACTTGAATGTCTAATGGGGCACCTCCAACCTCTCATGCCCATGCCAAACTCTTGATTTCCTCCCACACCTGCTCTTTTCACCATCATCCCCATCTCACGGAGAGCCCCATCTACACATCTCTTGGGCCAGTGGCCTTGGAGGGCTACAGTAATGGGCAGACTCTAGGAGGGACAGCTGACTCTGGCTCTTTTTAGCTCTATGTTTTGGAACAATAAATTTGAAGGCCAAGGAAGAGAAGGGGTTAGAAGCTGTACTCAGATTTTACCTGAAAATATGACAGAGCTCTTCTGTAGGCCCACAGACCCTGAGCACTGTCTCCCTGAGTACTCTTTGAGGACTTAGGGCGTGTCATGGTCCTGGGTTGGCCTAGAGTCTCCTGATGACCCATTGGCCTTCAGAAACTGTGTTCAGGATCTATCTCAGGCAATGACTTCCAGAATACCAGAGCTGGCCAGGCCTTCAGAGGTCCTCTGCACATTGGAATCTGCAATGAGGGCCTTAGGGAACATGTCTAACGAATCTACATGGATAAGAAACCAATCGGATATGTGAGCTTAGACATCCTTACTCCCAGCCAGCTGGTTTCAGAGAGGCAGGCTTTGCATCATTTATGGTGACTCTCCCCTCCGGCTGCACAGCCCAGCCAGCCCCAGCCCAAGCAGACTTTCCAAAGAGAGAGGTCACTAGGGAGGTCTTACCTGTTTGCTCCATGATGTGCCATATCTGAGATCGGTGACAAAGTGCTCACAGTTTTTGGTCAGAACAGAGTACTCCATCTTCTTACCGACCTTCTCCTTCGCAGAACTGATGATCTCCTCCACAGGCCTTGGTCTGTACCGGTGGTCCAAGTAGTTGTTGATCTGGTAGTCGCAGTTCCCTACCACATCCTTCAGGCGCTCCTGTTTCACCACCGCCGTGCTGCTCAGAACTGAGAAGAGGCTGGAGGAGCCAGCCCCAAGGAAATCACCTAGAACTAGAGACATTCTCATTGAGAGATGTGAAGGAGGGAACAGTTGGGAGGGAATGGCGCAAGATGGAAAGAAGAAAAGGAATCCGCTACCGGTTTTTTTTTGGTTGTTGTTAATCCTTTCACAAATGTAATTGGAAGACTCACAAATATTGCTCTTTTTACTTAGTAAAATGTGAATATTTTTAAAGTTAATGCCGTGATTGTCAACGGTGGCAACATCATTTATGTGACGAATCCCTTATCATCAGTCATTTAAGTATTTAAAAAATTCATTTATTTTTCCACAGGGTAAATGGACTTGGCAGACATGCACACACGCCCCCCCCCCCCACCCCACCCACCACCGAGTGAATCCCTGGATAGGGCGTGGTCATACCACACTTTTTCTCCTTCCCTCTCCTCATCCTCCGAAATTGGAGCAGATATGCAGCTTTGTCCCATGTGTTCTTCAAATTGCCAGATATGGCATTCAAACTGCAGTCAGCCATGTGGGATCTGGTCCCTATGTTCTGTGCTTAACCACAGCACTGTGAAGTCAGCTTTGACAAATTTTCAGTCTTATAAATAATGATGGCAAAACATATTTGTTGCTTATATATGTACACTGTGTTTCAGAAAGATGTCAAGTTTGTTAGTACCTGTTGTGTTTCAGATACGATGCTTCACAGTTTTTCATAGTTACCTAACTTAATCTCCTTCTTAACTTTCAAAATGTTAGGTTCAGGAATAGATCGTGCCCTCGGTGACGCAGAGACGACAACAACAATGCAAGTGCAAGAGAGGCTTTATTGTCCAGCTAGCTGGGGTCCAAGAGAATACCTGATGCAGCAGGCACCAACAAGGACCCCGAGCCTGGGTAAGAGCTGCTTTTATTAGCAGAGAAAGGGATGAGGAAGTACTGTCAGTAATTTTCCATGGCCTGACTTGTTGACAAGGGAGGGGTCCAAGGGGGAGAGCAAGAGCAGACCCTGAAGTACCTGTGCAAGGGTTGCTTTCACCCATATCCTGTTTGTTTGTTCAATCCCTTTGAAGCTTGCAAAGCTAGCAAAACTCTGCAGTTACAGGGGCCTGGGGCAGGGTGCTCACAGGTTGTGGCAAGGTCAGGAGCTGCAGAAGCTCAGGGCTGCAGGGGGCTGCAGAGTTCTGAGGCTGGCAATGCCAACATGACCAGCAGCATTCCTTGTCCATATTCTGCATCCCAACACAAAACAAATATGCTTGAAATCTCTATTGAACAACTAACACTGGGCAGAGATGGGTATTACCAGTCTTTTCTTTGCTGTGAAGAGTCAGGATGTTAGGTCAGGATGAGAAACTGCTCCTCTCAAGCTCCAAGGAACATGCTCCTTCCACTGTGCTGAGCTGAACCTTCCCTAAAGGGAATCCTTCCTATAAATGTCTTCTCTCCTGTGTCCCAGGATAGTTCTGGGCTCATAGATAGGTTCATGACAGAGCTAGCAACTGATAGAGCCAAGATTCTATTCTAAGGTAAGTCCAGGTTTTATTTTTAAAGAGAGACAGTAGCTAATTATCACAATAATTAGACATACCCCAAGTCCTGCATATTTTTCTTTCTTTTTATTTATTTATTTATTTTGCCTTTGGACACACATGCTCACTGAACACACACACACACACACACACACACACACAAAGTGAGCCGTCATCTCTCAAGGGGATGGCCACACCACAATCCCTTCTCCTTTATGCTCCTCTCAGGAGTTGGGGTCTGGTACTCAAACTGCAGTCAGTTATGTGGGACCTTAACCACTATACCACCTGCTGACCCCAAATCCTGTACATTTCTAATCTCAAGCTAGTGTTTGCATTTAGAAGTCTAGTGTGGTTATAAAGATTGAAGTACATAAGTCCATGTCATATCATACTTGACATGAGGGAGTTGCCCAACAAGTGTGTGCACGTTGTTTTCCCTAACATGTGTATAATATAATAGGTGATTGAAATACGGATCCTATTAGGAGAACCTACCTTTACACTTGCCTTTTCCCTCCACTTCCCCCAATTCCCTTCATCATGTGATTCCCCTCCATCCCACTTTTTCTTGTACTGTATTGTATCACTTCCACTGTATTGTATTATATTGATTTTCTCCCTGCTTTTGTATAATTGCATTTTCTAATATAAACTATCAGTGTTTGAAAAAAAGAAGTCTCTTAAGAAAAATCTTTTTGACAAAGTTATCCACTCCTTTTGAGGAAGTTAGGCACTAAAAAAGACCATGTGGCTTCACTGTCATGCTTTGAAGTTTTTGCACCTCTATCAAAGGAGATGAAAACTTGTAGAAAATTGGTGAGATGCTAATGCATTCTTACAGTGATACTGATTTTTGCCTAGTGGTGATGCCAATGCTTGGTGAAAAAGACATCTAAAGTTATGGTGGCATTGCTCTGTGGATCATGAAGCCGTTTCCATCTCGCTTGGCAGTCTTATTCTGGCATTTTCCCCTTTCATTGAGTATCCAGACACCTGTTTCTTGCACACCTTTTTTTTTTTTTTTTTCCAATTTGCAAGGGGGTGTGTGCATTCACAACAATTTTCTAATTTGCAGGAGGGCATGTGCATTTACAAAAGAAAGAAAGAAAGGGAAGGGAGAAAGCACCTTCCTAGAGGGGTGTGGATATGTTACCATCCCTTCTCCATTTTTCTATTCTCCTTTTGGAATTATTAACCTGCTCGTACAATGTCTGGGGTATGTTTTTGAGCCACTGGGTTTGGGATTTGAACCATGTAGGTGGTGATACAGGATCTGGCTCCCTTAACCACCAGGCCGTGGGCTGGCCCCTTGCATTTCCTTTTAACTGGTTTTGTTGCCCTGCTGTGTCTATTACTAGCAAGTTAAAGAAATCATTGACATGTGCTCACTGTGTATTTGTATGAGAATTTAAAATAATGCATAAACTGGTACAAACTGCTTCTGTTAAAGTGCTTTAAGTGCATAATATCGTGACATATTGTTCTGTGAACTCATATGCCACAAAGGACATAGCACGGAAAAACATTCCTTTTTATGAGGAACTTTCTTAAAATCATAGAAGGCTGGCTTTATGGCCTTGTGGTTAAGGCAGCTGGATCCCACATGGCTGACTGCACTGTTCGAGTCCTAGACCTGGTGGCTTGAGAAACATGCCAGGCACATGTGCATGCCCAAAATTCCAAAAGGAGGGAGAGGAATAGAGGTGTGATCATTCTCCATTGTGGGTGCTTTCTCCTCTTCTTCTCGATGTGTGTCTCGGTCTCCCTTTAGCAAGTGCATGTGCCCTCTAGCAAGGAAAACGAAACCAAAACCAACATAGCCTCTTGAAAAACTTGGCTGGTTTAAGAATATTGGACTCTGCATAGCAGAGACAACTGGCTTTGAGCTGGAAGAACAAATGCTGAAGCAGCCCAGTGCCATGGTGGGAGCCAATGGCCTTTTTCCTGCTCTGCTAGAACTATGAACTCCACAGGACACATGAATGAGGGGACTCAGAAAGCTTGTGGAAGATGAAATTAAAGTATTATTTTATTTTGATACAATAAAATTTGATGCTCATGCATAGTACTAATTTCATAATACTAATTTTCCACAAACTTTGTGAAGACCCTCCCACATATACACAATCTGATTAGACAATGTCTTCTGACTCATGTTTCCCTTACTCAGTTCTATCTTTTGGTGACTGTCATTATCTTATTACCAAGCATTATGAAAATTACATTTTTAGGTTCTTACTTGGAGGAGCCAGATGGATCACATAGCCGTCTCCTACATAGATGGCCCAGTGCTCGTAGCCAAAACGAAAAATCTCAATCAGGTCTCCAGGCTTGGGCTCTCGGAGTGACTGCAACAGACAAATGAGAGACAGTGTAGGCTTCTAGGAATAGCAGAAACCCCTTGCTGGAGAGCTTCTTCTTCTGTGGGATCGTCAGAGCTGCTGTCTCTTTTTGAGGATTCCCACAGTGGGAGAAGAGAACATGGAAGTCTGGAAGATGACTTCGTGGAATGGGAGCGTTTTGTACAAGTAAGTGTACGGCATGTGTGTGTGTATATATGTGGGTGTGCATGTTGTAGTTTCAGATGTACAAGTCCAGCTGCATCACACATACCAACTTCCTGAGCGTGTTGACATCAAGGCTGCGAGTGTGAGTCCCTTCACTGGGATTGGGAGCAGTGCTGGGTGGGCGAGTCTTCAACTCTCTGTTCATTGTAGACCGACTTACTCTCAGTTCCCTGTCAGTCATCTTGCCCTGTGTTTGCCCATGGCCCCATGAGGGACCTTGTCCTTGGACCCCGCCCCCACCCAGTCTTAGTCACCCATCCCTTGAGGTGACCACCCATGAGACGAAACTCACATAATCTGATGAGACCTGAGTTTAGAGTAGGAGGCCCAGCCCACCACTGAGGAGGCCTCCTGCACTCAGAGCAGGGCTCTGCTGGGCACTTGTCCTCGAATAACTGGGACCTTCTCAGCAGCCCCAGGAGATGCATTACTGTCCTTGCATGAATGGGGAAATCAAAGATCAGAGAGGGCAAGGGATTCACTCTAGGACCACTCCTATGGGAAGAGGCTGAGGTGAGTCTTCTCTGACTGCTTGTCTTCATGTCCTTCACCTCTTCCCCTTTCTCACCTCCGCCCTACTTTTCCAAGTTCCTGTCTTTTCTCCCTCTTTGTGTCTGTCCTCAGTGGATGACAACCTCTCATCCCAGGCTGTCCAGTCAGAGGCAGTGGTCAGCTCACCTTGCCTTCTGTCTCATGAATGTCATCAAAGCAGTCAGTCTGGATTTCAGGAGTTTTTTCCTGATTTATTTCCTCATCCTTCTCCCATACAGTGACTTGGTTCAGGATAGCACTGATCTTGCCTCTGTGACCCCCTGGCTTCCTGACTGGCCTCCCTGCCTCCTGTCCCTGCTACTTCACACCCAGTCCCCTGAGACCACAGTGGTCTTCCCAAAGGGCACATCTGGCCATGATGTCCCTCTGGCCTGAGCCCAGGTGTTCCTTTTTAGCTGCCACCACAGGAAACAGGGCACAGGACACACCCTTCGGGCACCTTTGAGCCCTCTTTGGTCTGCCCTTCCTCCCCCCTTTCACACCTCTTAGGCTCCACCCCCTAGGACCATTGAGTGACTTCCCAGTCATCACCACAGGCTTGCTCTGGCCTTTGCTTCTTAGCATACCAGGTCTCTGCCCCAACCACTTCCCACACCCATCTCTCCTCTTTCCTCCTTCCCATCAGTCAGTCACTCCTCATCTGAGAGGCCATGCCCCTGACCCAGCCTGGCTCAGCTGCTCCCCTCTGGGCCCCAGGTCCATCCCTGCAACTTCCACTTTCTGCCTGCAGGGGTCATGTTGTAGCTGTCTGTGTTTCCCTCTGTGCTGTGCTCTCCACTAAGGCTGGACTCTGAATTCACAACTCTCTCTCTCTGCATCTCCAGGATCTAGAGGAGGGCCTGGCACTGAACAGAGCAAAGGAAATAGGCAAGAGAGCAGGATGCAGGGTCGGCAGAACCAGGATTCCTGCCAGCTTCTCCTCTGTCTCAGCCTACAGCCGTCAGCTGGTCAGAGCCCAGTAGGGCCCAGGGATGGTCTCCATTCGGGAATCATGAAGGGACTTTTAACTTCAGTGCTCAATGCCTGAAATCATGGCCAGAGTCCTGTCAGCAACAGGTGATGGCTGATGAAATGTGAGCCTGGGTTCTACTTGGATAAAAAAAGCCCTTTAGTTCACAGAGTCCTGATTTGTTCTGGCTGCCGCAGAGCTCCTCCCCAGTAGGGCCCAGGGATGGTCTCCATTCGGGAATCATGAAGGGACTTTTAACTTCAGTGCTCAATGCCTGAAATCATGGCCAGAGTCCTGTCAGCAACAGGTGATGGCTGATGAAATGTGAGCCTGGGTTCTACTTGGATAAAAAAAGCCCTTTAGTTCACAGAGTCCTGATTTGTTCTGGCTGCCGCAGAGCTCCTCCCCAGAACCATGTGAGGCATACAACAGATTACCCTCTGGAATGTGCCGGACCTTTTCCTAGAATTGTTTCATTTCCGAGAATAGTCGGAGCCCATATTTTCCTTTTCCACTCCCACCAGGAGCTCAGCCTGCCCCTCCCTGGATAAATCTGGGCTCCTGGGTCGATAGGAAGTAAGGTATCAGTTTAGAAGTCTTGAAATCCTAAAGCTTTTTTTTCTTTTTTTTGGAGAGGTTTTTGTTATAGGGAGCATGTGCTCTCCAGAAAGATAGAGAAAGACAGAGAGACAGAAAGACTGAAAGCGAAAAATCACTCCCCAGGGGCATGGCCATGCCTCAATCCCTTCTCCTCTATTCTCCTCTCGGGATCTTGGGCACACATGCACAAGCTCCCGGCATGAGTTTTAGCCACCGGGTCGGGACTCGAACCATAGTTGACTACATGAGGTTCCAGTGACGTAGCCATTATGCTAACTGCTGGTCCCACCTAAAGCACTTTTTTAGGGAGGACAAACACCATGGAGAAAAGAGAAGAGAGAAAGAGCTGTTTGGGCTTAAGAAGAATCTGAACTCTGAGCAGCAGTTGAAGGAGATAACGTGGGATTTGCTCACTCCCCAGACACCTGCTGTCCCCATGCACACCCACATTGTGGCCTTGGCTCCAGCTCTGTCTGATGAGCGGGGCCTTGGCTCAGGCTGGAGCAGCTTCTGGATCATCCATGACTCCCTGGTTCTAGGCTTCCCACACTGTGACAGACACAGCAAGGAGGCTATGCTGCCTGGAGACCTCATGGTCCAGCAGGAAAAATGGACTTTTAAAAGACAATTACAGTTTTCTTCTTCTTCTTTTTTAAAATATTTATTTAGTTATTTAATTCCATTTGTTATAATTATCATTTTAAAAGTTTGACCAGAGAGAGACAGAGAGAGAGAGAGAAAGGGAAAGCGAGAAAGCAAGCCTCCAGGTGCGAACTCGAACCGCTGTCGGCCATGTGGGAATCCAGCGCTCTTAACCACCACGCCACCTGCTGGCCCCAAGACAAATACAGTTTTCTATGAGAGCTTTGGAGTAAAGTGTGTTCAAAGCCAGACTGAGACCTTTACAGGAGGGGTGCTGCCCCCATGCCCACCCCGTAGTCAGCTATGGAATATCCCAGGGACTTACCGAAGCCATGTAGACAATAGGACAGCGTCAGGTCCTCTGCTCTTGAAGCAGCCTTTAAACCTTAGTGAGATTTTCACTTTCAGTTTCCTTCTGACACTGTTTAAAAACTATTTAGGCAATACATATGATTTAAAGGGAGATAGTTATTTAAAAACTAAATATTTTCTCAAAATAAAAGGAAATAGAGTCACAGGCACTTTAAAACATAGACTCATTGGTGCTTTAAGGCCACCATAGGAGCAGGTGGAGAGCACCCTGCATTTAAGTTGCTGCTTGAGAGATCAAAAGTCTCTCTCTCTCTCTTTTTTTAGAGGTTTCTACTATAGGGCGTGCACACTCACTGGAAAAACAGAGAGATAGAAAGCAAGAAATCACTCCCCGGGGGGGAGGGGGGTTGGCCCCATGGTCGACTACATGGGAGTTCAGCGACATAACTATTATGCTAACTGCTGGTCCCAAAAGTCTCTTCTAATAAGAAACCTGGGCAGTTATTTCTACTCCAGGGTGGCAAGGCATTTGGAGGCAGGGAGGTGTCAACCCCCAATGCACCCCATAGGATTTGTCTTGTGACAACCTCCAGAAAATGTTGGTCCAAAAGCCATGGGAACGGCCAGCAGGGTGCTTTATTTCATGGGAAATGCTGTGGAGCTGGAAGGTGCTTTTGAGGAAGGAGATAGGGATCCTCAAAATATAATTAGGGTATAGGCCCAAAATGGAATAACAAAATTGCTAAGTTTTAAGATAAAAACAAAGCAGCTCAGCCCATGGCTCAGGAGAGACTTCTTGCAGTGGTGGCTCAGTGATTGACCAAGGCAGCAGGACCTAGACATAAATCAATGGTTTTCCAGGCCCCACCACATTCCAGGAAGAGAATAAGAAAATGGTTTTTATAGCCCAAAGTCTCTAGACAAAGAATCTCCTAGCTTATAAGGTATGTGTCAGCCAGCTCAGGTGAGTAATTAATGAGGCATGCAGATAACTGCTTCATGCAGGTAGGCTGCAGAGCCTCACTATATATATATGTATGTATATCTTATCATTATATATATGTATATTTGCCTTTTTAAAAGAATTATTTTATTGAACTTTATTTATTTAATTAATAAATTAATTTTAATTTGTCCAGAGAGAGAGAGAGACAGAGTGAGAGAGAGAGAGAGAGAGCAAGAGAAAGAGAGAGAAAGTGAGAAAGCAAGCCGCTGGGTCTCATACTCAAACCAGTGAGAGTCCAGCGCTCTTAACCACTAATCACCTGCTAGATCCACTGTCGTCTTCTTTTTTTTTTTTCCCAGACAGTACAAACTTGGCTAACTTGTTCTGACCTTTCTTTATCTAAAACTTCATTTCCACCCACAAATAAATTATAAGCAAAGAAAAAGGGACTACCTTGACAGGCTTAGGCTATCCACAACACATCACCTGGACGTGAGGGAGGGGTTCCTGCTGCCCAGTGAACATTAGGGCTCTGGTAGCCTGGAAAGAGGTAAGTGACAATGAGGGGTGTATGTGCGTATGTATGTGTGTGTGCGCAGAGCTGGCTATTAGGGAATGTAAAATGCACTCCATCCATCATAACAAACATGTTCATTGCAAGGCCATGAAGAGACTGCACTCAATTTCTCATACAATCAGGCTCCTTCCCTAGGTGCATTCCTCTTTGGTGGTCACCTCTGAGGTAAGATATCTAAAATAGTTCAAGATGCTATTAATATCAGTATCAGTGGACTTTTAAAATGGACATCTTTATTAACTTAATAAATTTCTTCTTTACTTTTTTTCCCCCTCCAATTGTCAGAGGATGTGTGCCCAAGAAAGAAAGACAGAGAGGGAGAGGGAGAGAGATAAAGCATTCCCCAGTGGGGATGGTCATGCCACAATCCCTCCTCCTCTATACCTCCAACCTGTTGGGATTTGGGGCACACATGTGCACACATCTGGCATGCTTTTCAAATTGCTAGGAATCTGAACCATGGTTGGCCATGTGGCAACCAGCTTCTTCTTTTTT